GACAAGACGGAGGATAAGCCAATTGTTTAGGCCTCCTTTCATTTCCAGATGGCGGCTGGCGACTGGATGGGAAGTCATTCGAGCACAAGAGAGTATCTTAGTGATATATGGGAAGTTACTTGTGGGTAGAGTGAGCCATTTTCGCACAAGGTTTGTCAGAGTTGAGATCTTGATAAGACCGCTCAAAAAACTATGGTGTTGATTGATGTATATCTGAAGGTGACTTAGCTGGATCTTATCTCCTTAATAAAGACGGGTCGATTTGTGAGTCGTCTATATGATTTGTCGACAAGTCAGTCGTGTGAGCTTCTGGTCGAGTAAACTGCCGAGAAGGTGGTCGAGCCGACTATTTGGGGAGTCGTCTCGACTTATAAGGGGTCGACTAATCCCGCACTTCGTGTCAGTAAAAGATGACCCGTCTCCTCGGCAGGTCAATAGACTTGCTCTTGGCTGGGCTTCTGGTCCACTAAGTTGGTTTGGACCATAGCTTTTTTGGGCCTATAAAGACAATCTTTCGACATCTTTATCTTTAAATGGTAAATTACCATAACAGTCAAGTTAGCTGCAAAAAATTGTTATCTTCAATATACTTTGTCTGCATCTTTAATCTTTCGTTTGTTAATTTCATGCATCTCAAATCATTAGCTAGATTTCATTGTAAATTTACCATCTAAAATATTATCAAAATTCACTACTGCATGGGTGAATATATAGAAGTGGGATAAAGTGAAAGAACTCTCAGTAACAATAGGCTAGGATCAGGCTTATATCAGTGGACTGCCAATAACATTCTTGAACTGCTTAATCGATCAATATTGAGAATAGAACTATGACCAAATCGATAATATAAATGTTGTCATTAATTATTTCAAGAGTTGAAAAAGTTCATAAATATTATATCAAATCTTAAACAACTATAAAAAAAATTGTATTGGACAAGTCCAAACCATCTCAAATATCATCATTAATAGTTTTAAATTATGTCCTGACTCAATATCATACATTTCGGTTAATAATGTATTTATTCAAATTAGATCACTGATTCCCCAATATATGACCAATGTAATTCAAAATGATGTGAATCAATTCAAATGATTACGATGAAATGCAGACTCGAACAATGTGATCAATAGCAAATGTAAACTCAACGAAGTGTTTAACATGCATGACATCCTCTATCAAATGAAATAATTAGGTGTTCCTTTGTTAAAATGCATAAAAATTTTCCTGTCCTAACAGTGATAGTGAGGAGCACGCAAAAAAATGTATGGCGAAGGAGTGTTTTTGTGCGCTTAACATGAGAGAAAAAGGAAAATAAAACACTTGTGCTCAAACTTGTATCCCTAATCTCTATATTTTTCCAAAATGGATCAGTGTATGTATGAGTGACTATCAGGACAATGCATGTGGGTTTGACATCTAATATGGTAGTTATTTCACTAGGCTCAGTTTGGTATTCAACTTCCATACAGATATCTGAATAATTCACTTTAGAAACCAAGTCAGGAACGTGTTGGGTGTCATGTTTGTCTTGGAGGACTTCGTAGAGAACATCAACAATGTTTTCAATTATTGGAGTGAGTTTAGGAAGAATTGGAGTTTCAATTTCAGGAACAACTACAGAGATAACATCAATAAACTCCGTGACCAAAGGGAGGACTTCGTGGGGAACATCAAAAACGTTTTCAATTACTGGAGTGAGTTCAGGAAGAATTGGAGTTTTAATTTCAGGAACAACTACAGAGATAACATCAGTGAACTCCGTGATCAAAGGGGTAGTTTGGGAAATAATCGGAGTGTTATTGCATGAAAATTCAATCAACTCCACAATTGCAGGGGTAGTTTCAGAAGAAACGAAAGTGCATGTTTTTCCATTTTACTATCTCGAAATTTCTTACCAGAGTTAGATTCTATCAAATCTACGGCCTGATTAACGATTTCCTCAATAAGAAGTTTTGATTCCGTTATAGGCAGCTTATTAATTTTAACTCTGAGCGGGTCATACAGATGGTAGCGACGTGCCCATACCCTTGACAATTGTAACACATAATTATTGGGCTAAGTTTGGGGAAATCTCTCTCTGACTCATTGCCTTGGGATCGACTCTAAACTAGGAAGAACTAGGGTTAAATCAACTCGGACGCTGACTAGAGGTAGTGGCACGAGAAGATAAGGAGGAATGAGTTCGAAAATCCTGACTTCAATGAGATTGGTGGAATTTGGCTTCATCTAGATCTTGAACTAAGGCGTAAGCTCTCTCAAGGGTGTCTACTCCTCTATCAAATAGTTCGGTTTGGAGGTCACTTTTCAATACGGCTCTAAACTTTAACAAGACTTTCATTGGTGCCTCTTTCTCAATGGTGCTACATCGAGTAAATAATTCATCAAATTAAGCAACGTACTCTTTTGTAAATTTGATTCCCTGAGTAAGACGATGCCACTTGTCGAGCAATCTATGATAGAACAATGGCGGGAGGTATTTCCATTTCAGTTCGTCGGTCATTTCTCACCAAGTTGTAATCAATAACTCACCTCTAATATGTCTTAACGTTTCGAGGTTGGACTAATATTGGCAGGTGGGTCCGGTAAGTTTCATAGCTGCGAACTTGACTTTCCGCAGCTCCGTCAGGACACACAAATTGAAGTAGCGATCCATGCCCTTCAGCCAGTCCAAGAAAGCTTCCGGGTCAAACTTACCATCAAAGGTTGGCGGATCAGGTACAAGTTGAGGTGGGGGGTCGATGAACGATGTGCCCATGACCTTGACCTTGCGGAGGCGGAGTTGCAACACGTGTTTTTCCTAGCTTAGCGTGCGTCTCGTTGGTTGCATTTTGGAAGGCCTCGCGGGTAGTTCTACACTCCTGGAATACGATATCAAATCGTGCTGCTAGTTCAGCGAATTTCTTAAGGAGTTCAGACTCTACACTGCCTGACATGTTAGACTCACTAGTTGACTCACTTGACTCTCCCAATAGATATGGTAGACATGTACAAGTGGGCATACACTAACAACTAAATGAGATGAATATGTGTACTAACAACTAAATGAGATGACTGGATTTTTTTAAAACAAATAAAGACTCAACTAAAAAAAGAAATTTCCTAACCTAGAACCATGCTCTGATACCAAAAATGATGTGAAACGGGACAGAGGGTCTATCAGAGTCAGCGATCTAAATCGAATAGAGCACCGTTTTGCCAAAATTAAAGATATTCGACAGGAAATTAAATTCAAACAGTTAATGTGATAGATAGATTTAATGAGATTTGTGTTAATAATCATGAACAATTCCAATCTCAAACAATATAATCACAATATTCATTATCATTGTACCAGTTCCACAATCAATATAAATTTTTCAACAGTCACATGTTCAGTTACCCTCAGCTCATAAATACTAATCTAAGCAGCGAATATATGATAATAGTTTAGAGACAATATACTCGTGCAATTAACTAACCAAATGAGATAAACAGAAAATAAAGAAAGAGAAACATTCGTCGGTCTGAACAGACTCGACGTGAGAGATGACGTCGAATTGGCTGACGACGCAGCGACGAATTGAGTGACGACGATGGCAACGAATCTGAACAACGATGATGGCGGCAACTCTGAGCAGCGACTAGAGTGACGGCGTCGGCAAGGACGACGGGACGATAGCGATGTGATGATCCATGGTAAGCGGCTGTGACAGTGGTAGTGTTTCTCTGGTGGGGAATTTTGCCAAACAGTTGGTGTACATGAAGGCGGCAATTGCTAGGAAGGAGGCTCGGTGCCGGTGGGAGTAGGGCGGCTGCTTAGGAGGAGATGATGGCATTGGTGGTGCGGCTGTTTGGGAGGAGATGATGGTGCTGGTTGTCGGAGGTGGAGATGAGGGGCAGGCTGGGTGTTGGACTGGTGATCGGGTTTGATGAAGAGGGGAAACAGTAGGCGGGCAAAGGAAGGGGAACGAGGATTGGTGGAGTGACTGTAGGGAGGCGGCACTGGAGAGGGTGGCGGTGGTGGTGTAAGGGCAGCGACTTGCGAGGTTGGGACGGTGTTGGATGTTGGCGGATGCAGGGGAGAAGAACAGGGAGGTGGAGTTGACGACGGTGACTGGAGGAAGAGATGGAGTTGGCGACTATTTTGGGAAGCAACGGAGGTCAGAGGGGGTGAAGAGGAGGCCTGCGGGGGAGATGAGTGAGATGCGGGGTTTGCTGGTTGCACGGGAGCGGAGGGAGAGATCTGACGACGGCTTTGGATGTGGATCTGGTGGTTTGCAGTGAAGAGTAGGGTTTGACTGATTGTTGACGTGAGGAAGACGAGAGAATGCTTGGCGGCTGGAGGAAGAAGACACAGGGAACAGCCTAGGGTTTCACACCCGAGGCCTAGGGCGGTGCTGGTGTAAGGGCAGCGACTTGCGAGGTTGGGACGGTGTTGGATGTTGGCGGATGCAGGGGAGAAGAACAGGGAGGTGGAGTTGACGACGGTGACTGGAGGAAGAGATGGAGTTGGCGACTATTTTGGGAAGCAACGGAGGTCAGAGGGGGTGAAGAGGAGGCCTGCGGGGGAGATGAGTGAGATGCGGGGTTTGCTGGTTGCACGGGAGCGGAGGGAGAGATCTGACGACGGCTTTGGATGTGGATCTGGTGGTTTGCAGTGAAGAGTAGGGTTTGACTGATTGTTGACGTGAGGAAGACGAGAGAATGCTTGGCGGCTGGAGGAAGAAGACACAGGGAACAGCCTAGGGTTTCACACCCGAGGCCTAGGGTTTCACCCAAGGTTTCACACCAGATTTTAGCTAATGCAATTTTTCATTCAATAATTCATTATTCCATTCGATTACATCAGTCCCTTAAATAGAGAATTTTAAAATCTCACAAAATAAAAATCTCTCAAATCACTCAAACAAATTCCCTAAAATCACTCAAATGCCAAAACTAAACCAAATTTTAAATTTCAAATTTCAAAAATTAAAAATAGAAGAAAGTCAACTAAGCTAAAAATGGAAGATTGTCAATTCTTGTCCTCATCACATCTCCTGATTATAATCGGGAACTCATAAAATCATTCAAAAATAACTGCGCGTGTTCTGTTTCGAAAAAAAATTCACACCCAGCTCAAATCTTCTCTTTATAACAGCTTCGATAAACAACACTAAATTGCTAGATCAAAGGTTCAAAGGTCCAAGTTGCGAACATTTTTTTTGTTAATAACAATAATTTTTACGCCACCAGATTAAGTAGCTGGCACCTGTTGATAGTAAACAGGAATCATCAAGTTTGCTAAAAAGTGACTGCATCCTGCTCTGTGCTGAAAAATCATACTATCAAAAAGGTCACTTCTTCGGCCTCACTTCTATTCCAAGCACAGTAAGCCCACTCTTCCAGTTTCCACCTTTAACCTCCAAGAAGCGAAAATCCACCTCCCCATCATCACCACCATCATTGAAGAACTCACCCATCTCAATCTCCATCCACCCATCACTTCTACTGCTTGGAACTCTGCTCTCTCTCAAATCCTCGCTCGAACCCTCGCCTTCTGGGCCCCACACAACAGCCCTCCTAGCAAAGGGTCGGGGCATTCTGCGGACCCTGCGTCGTGGGGCCCTATTGGGTTGTACGCACACACAGTGTTTAGATTCATAGGCTCCAAACTTGACTGATGATTCTTGGACTGGGAAACTGAGGCCACGAGAGTACGGGTCCAGTTTGAAGACAAGATAGGCTACGTAGTTCGTCTTCGGGGAAAGGATCCGGGTCTCAACCTTGCCGTGGATCTCGAGCCAACAGACGTTTAAGAGATAAGCCACCTCAGCAAACCTGGCGTCAAGGTTCAGTGTAAGCCTGAAGTTTGATTTTGCGAGTAACTTTTGTAAGAAGATGATAGGTAAATACTTGAGGTAAAGCATATGCCATGGATGGAGATATCCATTGAGCAGTATGGATCCCATATCGGCTATCAAGCTATATGAAAGCTTTTTTTTGGCCCTCTCCATTAAGCTCTCTACAAGGCAAGTTTTCTTATGACTCGCTCCATCGAGTTCCGATTATTAAGTTTATACAAGTTAACAGCCTAGCGGCCATCAACGACCACTTCTCCTCGACCACCATAATACTACAGAGGAGAAGACAGAGACCCCAAGCCATTTCGTTTGCCTAATGGGTAAACTAACATTCCAAAATCATTACAACCAAGAAAATCAAGCAAGGGATCTAACCTCGTGTCAGCCGCAGAGATCCACTTCCAGTAATGCGGGGTGTCCCCCCACACAATGCCAAGCTCTCTAGCTGAAATCATATAGCACTTTGCTCCACTTGATTTCTCCAAGTGAAAACTCTGCCCATCACCATATATTCAACCATGGACAGATAAAATAGATAAATATGTTCTCTTAAAATAAGCGCGGGAGCTGCACCCAATCGAATATTTCTTACAAGAGTGGTACTACAGTCACACCCCCAACCACACCTTGGGGCACACCCCCTCTCTAAGCTACAGTACATGGGGCCCATTTTAGATTTTTAAATCTAAAGTGGGCCATATACACTGTAGCTGAGAGAGGGGGTGTGCCCTAAGGTGTGGTTGGGGTGTGCCTGTAGTGTTTTCCTTCTTACAAAAGCAATACCAATAGTGAAATGTGTTCTAAAAGTTGAGGTTAACATTCCTGAGACTAAAATGCAAAAGGAAACGACTGAATGTTTCCTATCATCCTTCCGTAAATCAATCATAATTTACCCCTGAAACACCCTTTCCAATGCTTGTTCCATTCGAAAAAAAATTACATTTTTTTTTTAATTTCATGAATCCAAACTTCTAACTTTACCTAATGTGATAACATTAGTTCGCTGCAATAATAACACCATATTTACCGATAGTTCAAACAGCAACAAGAAAAAAAGAAATCTAAAATATTTCCATTTCCCTCCATCTTCCAGAACAGAATTCGCCTCGTTGGAACTTATTCGGTTTTGTGGAACTCCCAAAGTTTAGGGTGTTTTGTGAAAGTCAACCTATTTCAACGGTATCTGACGTTGTACTATTATATAGACCCCGCACCAAAATCGCACATTTTTACGAGATCAAAAAACAAAACAAAAAAAAAACCTAAAATCAAGAGAAAATCAAGGATCATAACGCTGACTTACCATCTTACCGCCATCAACCAAGATCGGATCACAGAGCCTAAAGTACAAATCCCTCTTCGACCCGAACTCCACCGTTTCAGCCGCTCGATCGAGGATCTCCTCGTAATCCTCCGGCAAGAACCGCTCCCAAACCGTATCGGAGTCAACGGCGGATCTGAACGACGCAGACACCGCCGCCGACCTGCAGGAGTCACGTGGCGAGGTCAGGGACAGCACGTGCGAGATGCACGCCTCCGGGACCTTGCTGAAGTCGCCATCGAATTCGGTCCCCATCGTCAATGGATCGATTCTTTTTGTGGGTTTTTGATTTGTTTGCGTTTGAGAAGGGCAGGCTTTGCGGGGGGTTTATATAGGAATTTGAGTGCTTAGCCTCGAAGTATTCAGCGGTCGTTCGTTGCGGGACGAGGGCAAAATGGTAATTTGGAGCGCGGAATTGCTGCGCATCTCATGCGTTACGAGGCGGTTATTAGAATTGTGGTGGTTTTACAGTTTCCTACCTGAGCATTAGTTTTTTGCACATTCAGCGCCTCCCTTTGGGTATTCAACGAGACAAAAAAATAAAATAAAATAAAATAAAATAAAAAACTCAATCTGAATTTGAAATTGAGATATAATTCAAACATCCACGAACATCTTAAACATAAAACACAAATCTTATCATAACTTCTTGCATATGGATGCGATAGCTACATGAGTAGTTATAGTCAATAAAATTCCCTCTTGCTCGCTTCTTTAATAGTCCCTAATACTTTGCTCATGTTAACAAGAGGTCTGTGTAACATTTCATCATGGTTTTTAATGGATAACCACAACATATATCAATTGAAGTCTGAGCTTGAACCATAAACTTTGTTTAAACAAAAAGAAGAAGAAAATCAATGGGAAAAATATCATAATAGCAAATATGCGATAAAGTAAATTAAGAGGTTTGTATTCCAAGTAGTAGTATCAAACATGGAGAACAGAAGAGAATCCAACGGCTGACCACTGACTGCTTTGTCTCCTAGCAGTTACAAAACTAAATCAGACCGTAAACAGGCACTAGGAACAAATGCACCCACGATGATGCAGTGGTTGGCCCCACGTGACATTCAGAGGGTGACTTTCTGGGTTCCGCAATCGATAGTGCGTAAAACTATTGAGCGGCGGGGGGGTAAAGAAACACGTGTATCTAGCGTAGAAAGAGGCTGAGAACACATCCGCAAGCGGCTTTACTGACTCGGTCCTTTTCCTAAAAGCCCAATGAATGCCCAAAAGAGGAAAAGGGGCAAAAAGCTGAGACAGAAATTGGATCCGCTTTTGGTCATGATTTCTGTAAATTCAATATTTTAGACAGGAAAAATATTTAATATATATGTCAAAATTAAGTTAAGCTTTTGGATGAAGTGGTTCGTCACAGTCTTCTTATAGAAAAGGAAATGCTTTTAAAAGGCCTATTTGGTTTAGAGTAAATAGAAATACGTAAGTAAATAATGCGGTCAAATTTATATTTCTCATGTTTATTGCAGCACATTGTCATTGGAAAGGGTAAACCAACTTACAATTTGAAGAATACCATGTTAGATGCACGTACATCGCACTTGATTAAATATCATTATTATTTCTTTTTTGCTCTATTTCTTTACTTAACTTGGTTGTCTATAGACCTATATATATAATTAATCAGAAGAATTAAAATTATCATGACCAAAGTCAAAATTACATGGTCAACTCACATTAACTGCAATTTACAACAAATAGTACATGAACGTCAAAATCCTTTGACTCTCATCGCAATCATATGTTGTCATCTTGTAATTTGCATAAAATCACGGTATAATATTCCAACTTTTATCCCCTAAACAATTTAGCAATCTCAAAATTTCCCCTTTAATGTGATGCCCCATGAGGCTAATAGGCTCTAAGAAAAGATCATATACCAATAAATATGGATCTTAATTATGAGAATTTTTATAATAAGATGATATATTAATATTTTATTTGTTTATGTTTTGGATTGTCAAAGTTAGCCAGCTATGAAATGACTAATTAATATATTCCACTCTAGTATATATCCTTTTCTCTTGCTATTTTTTGAGACATAAAATTGATTTATAGCTAACCTTGACTATTTCATGTAATTAGAGATATGCTCATCTTCATGTCTTTAAACTTTTTTAATGAGTAATGGACTCATCTTTATTTGAATACCTTTTTATATCCTATTTAATTACTCTTGCAATTTAGAATTTTTTTTAGCTTAACTTTCTTAGTTACATCTTCTGTGAGGTTTCATCTCTATTTCTTACGTGTAATATTCTGTTAAAATGTAGCCTGTCAAAATAATTGCAAGTACTGGACCCTAGATCTTTTGAAAAGATATATATTGAACATCTCATAATCAAAACATCAGAATAACTTAAACAATATCAACTTGAGTAATTTTACTCACATAATTATTTTTAATTAACAAACCTATTGAACATTTCAAAGGCTCACAATTGGTGAAGACACTAAATATTTTAAAACGATACATATTGAACATCTCATAATCAAAACATCAGAAAAACTTACGTGTGCTAAAACTAATTTATACATCTTTTCGCTTGTATCTACAAAGTATATTGTTGGAAAGATAAAATGTTAAAAAGAAGTGCATTATATTAGAATTTAGTTGCAAATTGAGAATCCTTATTTGAGTGATTTTACACGCATAATTCTTTTAATTAACGTACCTATTAAACATCTCAAAAGCCTAAAGTCCAAGTTTTCACTTTCCAAACTATCCTCTCCTCGTTATTAAAAAAAAATATTGTTCACTGAATTGGTTGCTGATGGTAAAATGCTACATCTTTCCTATTTGATATAGAAAATTATTAGGCAGATGATATATCTCATGTTTAGTGTAGATAACTATGCAAACAAAGTATAATCTATACTACTTCTAAAAGAGAAAACAAGTGTCAAAACTTTCGCATACCCATTTTACCCTTTACAAATTACTTAATTCTAAATTTTTCCTATGTTTTAACCCCTTTTCCCCAATTACGCCTCTCTTTCTTCCCAACGTCATCCGACCTCTCCCCTACCCCTGCCCCTCTTGGGCCTCTCCCTCTCTCCCTTCGATAACGCTCAACTCTCCTTCTTCCCTTCCTAATTCGCTCTCTCCCTTGCCCCTCTCCCTCTCTCTGTCTTTAAATTAATTCGACCTTCGGCCTCCACGCTTCCGATTCCGCCGTTTCTCAATGACAGCCCCTTCTCCCCTGCGTAATAAGCCGCCGCCATCTCGTCCATCTCCCCAAACCCCAACCCCTCCAAAACCCTAACCCTAACCTCCTGTTGCTCCACCTCTTCCTCTCTCCTCGACGCCACGAGATCCAGCATCTCTGTTTGATAAATTTTTAATTTAGCAATATCTGTTTATGCATTTGCTCCTCTACAAATGTTGGTGAATATAATATACTTGAGCTAGAGAGATATTGATTGATGTTTCCTGTTTCATTTTTTAAGAGCTTTGATCAGAACAAGAGAGAAATGGTTCGGTTGGATGACTTCATATCCATATATATATTTGTACAGTCAGCAAGGTACAGTGAGTGGTTCTTCATCTTTGTTTTTCATGCAATTATGTTCTATCAGGGAAAAGCCATGTCTCATTGCTTATAATGTCCAGGGATAGTTCCTGGCAGAAATAAACTTTTATTGCATAATTGTTGACTGTAACTCATGCTTATCCCAAATGTATTATATTCCTGGCAGAAATAAACTTTTATTGCATAATTGTTGACTGTAACTCATGCTTATCCCAAATGTATTATAAAGATGCAACTGTTTTATTTTCTGACTGTAATTGTTGACTGTAACTCATGCTTATCCCAAATGTATTATAAAGATGCAACTGTTTTATTTTCTGACTGTTGTTTATCTACAGCTGCAAATTGTAGGATATGAACTTATTGTTGCTTGGAGACCAGCCAGCTCTCATGGCATAACCATTGGCCACACTTATATATGTTGGATCTACATCATAAAACTTGAGATCTAAAACCATATAGCCATGATTAATTCAAAGAGATTAACAAAATCAAAAGAGCGGAAGCTTATACCTGAATCCATGGATGAACTCTTGATTTGGGTTTTTGATGATCTTCTAACCTTAGGGTTTCTCTAAAAGGAAGAGACAACAAAACCAGATGCACTAATAACTCGTCACAAAGATCGAGTTTAAGTGCCTTAAGCTTTGAAGCAATATGAGACATTTCCATAATGTACTCCCTGATATTTCCTTTGCCCTTATACTTCATTGAAATCAAGCGAGCTAAAAGCGTGCTTGTTTCTACCTTATCGTTTTTCGCAAAACGCTTCTCAATTTCGGCAAGGAAATCTTTAGCCTTAGTAATCCCTTCGGATTCTATGCCCCTGAAGGCTTCCGGAACGCCGCGCTTAATGATCATAAGACTCATGCGATTTGAACGCTCCCACTTCTCATGCTCCTTCTTTGCATCAGGAGTGCTATCCGCATTGAGAGGTTGGGGTTGTTCAGTTCTTAATGCATAGTCAAGATCCATGCAGCCAAGAACAATTAATATGTTCTCTTTCCAAACCTTGAAGTTTGTCCCATTTAGCATGGGAATTGAGTTGATGTTAGCAGAAATTGTTGCAGCAGATGCATTAGCTGAAATAAAACAAAAGAATGCTCACATCAATAACCATAATCAATAAAATTCAAATAATGACAATCCCCATCCAAGATACCGGCACAACATTAATATCAAGTCTTTGGACAGTAATATTAACTTGTAAGTGATACCTTGTTGCAATGATCAAACATTGACAATAACTCATGTCAAATAATGAAACTATCTTTGGATCGATTCATTATTCACATGTAAACCTTATAATTGTCACACGCTTATCATCGCAGATGTGTATACAGTCTAAATAAATATTAACCTTCCTTTGGGCCGATTAAATATTTACACGAAAGCATACACACAAACATCTCACATTCCTCATGAACAATCTACACAAGAGAGGTTACTTTGGCAACTTCTTGTTTCAATTAATCAATTGGAGTGAGAGACAACCTTAATACCTTAGTGTCATAATATTTGAATTAAATAATTGATTAAAAACCGAATTAGATTTAAATTAAAAAATTTAAATCAACTGAATTTTCAAAAACTTAATTGGGGTCTCACAACTTAATTAGGGCCCATTACTTAATTGAATAAATTAAGTTCACCAAAGTGGACCCATGAAAAGCCGAGGCTTAACCATAATGAACACGAAGTTCCCTTAACTTCGAACGCGAGGTTCGACTGTATTGAGTACGAGACTCACTTAAGCACGAACGCGAGGTTCGTTTGAAAATGAACAAACGCGAGGTTCGTTTGATAAAAGAACGCGAGGTTCAACTTGGGAACGAACGCGAGGTTCGTTTAAAAAAATGAACGCGAGGTTCGACTGAAGTACGAACGCGAGGTTCGTCTGAAGTACGAACGCGAGGTTCGTCTGAAGTTCGAACGCGAGGCTCGACTGAAGCACGCGAGGTTCGTCTGAAGTACGAACGCGAGGTTCGTCTGAAGTACGAACGCGAGGTTCGTCTGAAGAACGAACGCGAGGTTCGTTAAAAAATTGAGCTTGACGCTCACCTGAGTTGAACGCGAGGTTCACCTTAGAACGAACGCGAGGTTCGTTAAAATTGAGCTTGACGCTCACCTGAGTTGAACGCGAGGTTCACCTTAGAACGAACGCGAGGTTCGTTAAAATTGAGCTTGACGCTCACCTGAGTTGAACGCGAGGTTCACCTTAGAACGAACGCGAAGTTCGTTGAGCGCGAGGCTCACTTGATAACGAACGCGAAGTTCGTTTGAACGCAAAGTTCGGTTAAAAATAAACGAACGCGAGGTTCGTTTGAAGCTTACCGCTTCGCCAAAATTTAAGGTAACCACCTCCTTAAAGTTCGCCACGTTTTCACGCATGAACCCTTAGGGTTTCAAATTGAAACCGCCGCCGACAAACCCAAAAAACCTTTGATTTTTATTTTCAAAACAGATCCAGAATTGGAAAAAATTGAAGAAAAAATCAAAGAAAAATCCAAAAAATTCCAAAAAGTTACTGTTCACCGGCAATTTTTCAGTTACTGTTCATCCGAAAAAATACTTTACTGTTTATCCGAAAAAAAAAATTCGCCACTGTTCACCGAACATTACTGTTCATCCGAGAACAAAATTGAATCTTTAACCAGAGATTTAAGATCAAAAACCCAATAAAACTTAAATCCCTAAGAATTAATCAAGGTGGCTCTGATACCACTTGTTGGATCTACATCATAAAACTTGAGATCTAAAACCATATAGCTATGATTAATTCAAAGAGATTAACAAAATCAAAAGAGCGGAAGCTTATACCTGAATCCATGGATGAACTCTTGATTTGGGTTTTTGATGATCTTCTAACCTTAGGGTTTCTCTAAAACCGAATTTCTCTAGCTAGATGGGGGTGTAGAGAATTAGAGAATGTAACCCTAGGTTAGGGACCATAACCCCTTATTTATAGATGTTGTACTTTTGTAATTTAGCCCCTCAATAAATCACAATTACAACCTGGTATCTGCACATATAACCCCATGACTTATTTAAATACCAAATTAACCCAACTTAATTGATCACTTTAGTGGGTTATCCTGAAAGATAGCAATACACATTGATTAATCATATGTGCCCACAAATAGATTTATTAGATTAAATCCAACAATATACTCTTATAACTTCTTTTGTATCAGTTTGCTTATATTTCTTAGCAATTTTTGTATATGTAAATTTCTCCACTGCCTGCCTTTTGTTTATTGATGCGCATGATCCTACAAACCTGCTTCCTTATTTTTCCTCTCTTTATCATTTCCTGAACTTGATTGTCGTAAATAAGGCCAAATGATGATCTGTTTCCTATGCAGACATCAGAGTGCGTTATGCGACCTATGTCACTGATAATATCCAAAACTGTAGCATTCGGATCTTTTTTGTGTCTATTTTGTTTGTGAGCAGTTTGTGACTCAAAATTGTAACGTTCATGTTGTTTTTCCTCCCATGGTTGACTTTTTTATAACCAAAATTACACAACATTTAAGATTACTATAGAAGATCTTCTAAGGTATTTCAACTAGAACCTCAAATCTTTGATTGCTCATATGGGAACATTTCGTGATCTGATATTAATAAAGTATAGGATAATGGACTGCAAGATATTTGATGACGATCGACAATATGCCAAGTAATAATAATTAAACCAACAAAACTTATTTTTCATTCCGTAAGGTGCTATATTATATATTATAGATCTAATATTGTCTGTTTAGCTTTTGAAACATTGGGGGTATTTAGTAACAAAGATTCTTGTTATGGTTTAGTTAATTATCCATGCTGACCTTTCTGTACTGGATAGCTTCTTCTGCTCTGAATGCTGGGGGCGTAGGATGAAGAGGCAGGGGGATTCATTCGTTTCTCAGTGGTTGAGAAATGGAAAATTCGGAGATGAGAGGAAGGGGGTGGGGCGCATGGGTTAGAGCGGCAGGGGGAAGGGAAAGGGCATAATACCAGCAACCCCTCAGTTTTTAATGTAAATTAATAATATTAAACACGGATAATGATAATCTATACTACTTCAAAAAGTGATAATAAATGTCAAAACTTTTGCATATCCATTTTGCTCTTTACAAATTTCTTAAGTCTAATTTTATCTTGTATTTTATCCCTCTTTTCCCCTATTTAGCCATTTAGTTTTAGTAGGTACCTATCCTATCCTCTCATAACGTCCAACTCTTTAGCTCCCTTCGTTATCTCTCCCCTGCCCATCTCCCTCTCTCTTTGATAACGCCTGCATCCCTTAATTCCCTTCGTTATCCGCTCTCTCCCTTGCCCCTCTCCCTCTGTCCGTCTCTAAATTAATTTGATGTTCAGCCTCCTCGCTTCCGCTTCAGTTTCCTCCGTTTCTCAATGCCAACACTCTCTAAATTCCTCCTTAATCGCTCTCTCCCTAGCCTCTCTTCCCCATCTCTCTCTGAATTATTTTGACGGTCGATCTCCTCACATCCACTGATGTATATGTCCTAAACCTCCATCGCTGATCTCCGGCCACGACCATTGTCTAAAACCCTTAAAAAAACCCACCATTTTCCCCAAAATTCCTGTAATTTCCCCAAAAATCTCAACTCTCTCTCTACCCCTCGCCATGGGGACCTCAGTTCAAGTCACTCCTCTCTCCAACGTCTACAACGAGAGCCCCCTCTGCTACCTCCTCTCCGTCGACGGCTTCAACTTCCTAATGTACTGCGGCTAGAACGATCAATTCGATGTTAATCTCCTCCAACCCCTCTCCAGGTTCAAATCCCTCGCTTAAATTTGAGTTTTTGATCGAAACCCTAGAACCACTCATATCCAATTTGTAGGGTGGTCTCGAAGATCGATGTGGTTCTGATATCACATTCAGATATACTTCATGTTGGGACTCTGTCGTATGCGATGAAGAAGCTAGGGCTGTCTGCGCCCGTGTATTCGATGGACCCAGTGTGCAGACTTGGGCAGCTGACGATGTATGATTACTACGTCGCTCGCAGGGTAAGTTTCATTGTATTGTTTGCATTAGGTCGAAGCTCGTTTGGAAAATGTGAGAATAGCTTGTTACCTGTGCAGTGCATGGGAAACTCGAGAGAGATGGTTGGGCTTTATGGGTTTGGGGACAAGAGGAGAGGAGAAAGGGAAAGTGGAATGACATGTTAATAGAACAATTAATGAAATTGGATGCGATTGATGTGGATATGATGCTGCATATGTTTCTACAATAATAATAACGAATGAATAATAAAGAATAAGTCATTCATGCAACCATTTGCAGTTGTTTTAGTATATAACAGTATATTTCTGTGATTTTGGGTATCGAATTGTATGTGAAAAGGGATCATGGGTTAGAGCAGCATTTCGAGCAAGTATATATAAACTTCAACAATTTGAGTAATGTAGTGTCAGAAGTTAATTCATTTCTAGACCAACTAAAACCTGCCTGGATTATGACTGAATAGAAGTGGGAATAGTAGTATTTTATAGAGGGGTTGGATTAGATCAAAAACTATGAAGAATCCAAACAGACTTGTAACTTAGTCCTCGGGTTTCGTTGCCCAACTAAGGTAGCTCCATTGTGGATAAGACGAATGAATGATGGATGATAGCTAGTATAAATGAAATTATCTAAAGCCTTAAGGAATAGTTTAGAATCTAACCTTGCAAAGTATATTATTTAGTTACTGTGTTATGACAATTCAAACATTACAATTTGTTTACATCATCTTCAGAAGTCCAGATGACTCATTACGTTGAAACAGGGCTGGCCCTAGGGGTAGGCGGGAGAGGCCTGCGCCTAGGGCCCCAAAAAAACAGGAGCCCCCTATGTAATTTTATATATATATATATACCCCTCCCACCAGCAAGGCAAACGCGACCTCGCCGCCAGCGCCTTTGCCCTTTGGAGACTCTGTCTCTGTCTGCAATTTGCGCCTCCTCTGGCCGGCGACTCCGTCAAGGTTACAAGGTATATAAGTATATTTGAATAATTGAATATTTCTATAATTCTATACAGATAACATACTATACTTAGAATAGCATAATATCTTTGTTTCATCACTTCATGACCTAATAATACTTTTGCTTTGTTATTGATTCTATACAGCACGAATCTGTACATAACATTATTAACATACATGAATTAGTTGTATAAACAAAGTATGAATCTGTGCATAACATATATTATGAATCTGTGCATAACATATATGAAATTATGAATCAGACTATACTTAGTATATTTGCTGATTAGTGATTAATCAATTGAAACAAGAAACCATAATATGCATACAGGCTGTATAATCAAAGTGCGGTACCTGAACAATGAAAATCAGTAGCTAGTGATCCATACTTCAAATGATTGCATCGTGTCCCAAAAAAATCTTTAAGTCCAAACTTTGTTTTTGTCTATTGAATAGGAAGAAGAGATAAAAGTGCATCCTTTAGGATTCAGGCGTGTTGATCTGAAATTTGTTTGAAGTTAAACTATTCAAATTTTAAGGTAATTTTATAACTTTATAAATTATAATATTTGTTGATATTATGTATTTTAGTATTTGTATATAATTTTTTATGTAGGCATCCCTAAAGTTACTTAGGTGCAACACTTTATTTTTTTTTTAAAAAATCTTGATTATAGGAAGGCCCCTTTAAGATTTTTGTTCAAGTTTTTGCCTAGGGCCCCCGAATGCTCAGGACCGGCCCTGCGTTGAAAAAGGAATTCCTGTAGGAGGCACATAATTGCTCTGTAGACTTTTGTCTCATTTTTTTCGCTACATGATATTTGGTTGCACTTTTATGCAAATATGTTTATCCTTTCAAGTCATTATACTTCTGCTGCTGCTGCTGTTTTGTATCATTATTCTTGCATTCACATATTTGTTTCTGTATTTAATATGTATATTTCTATCGTTATTATTGTATTGACATATTTGTTTCTGTATTTGATTTGTATTTCTCGCTTAATATTGCAGCAAGTTTCAGATTTTCGACTTATTCACCATGGACGATATTGATTTTGCCTTCCAAAACATTACGAGGCTGAGATACTCCCAAAACCATCATCTCTCTGGTTGGTAGAATCATAGCCATTGCTGAATTTCACTGTGATAAATGCTTGATGTTTCAGTGTTTTATTTCATACCATGTAACAGATAAAGGAGAGGGAATCGTCATAGCTCCTCATGTCACAGACCATCTTCTGGGAGGTACCGTCTGGAAGATAACAAAAGATGGAGAAGATTTTGTGTATGCCGTTGACTTCAACCATCGGAAAGAGTAGTTAAGTACCATTTAAACGAAGATTTGTATTCTTATTTAATGATCATAAGGTTGTACTCACTAAATTGGTTTATCAGGCACTTGAATGGAACTGTCCTTGAATCTTTTGTCTGGCCTGCTTTTCTGATAACAGATGCTTACAATGCTTTAAACAATCTAGTTTACAAACGTCAAAGGACCAAGAGTTTCTTGGTAGTTCCCTACTGCCTTCTCAATTTTATGTCTTACTTATTTTATATTGTTGTTTTCTTCTCTGAATTCCTTACCTTTTGTGTTTCAGCTTGTTGGCTTTGTTTTGGAGATAAGTTTATTATTTTAAATAATAGCTCTCAATTGTTTACTTACACAGCTGCCACTTGAAAATTCTGCATTTGTAATAGCTATATTGCTTACGTAGCTTTAGATTTTGGCTTAGTTATAGATCTCCCTTGCACTTGGCAAACGTACAACAGAAATTTTCACTATGTTGCCATTGTTGTAGAAGAAAATTTCATGTAAATATATTTGACTGACCGATTGTTTTTTGTAGATTGAAGTAAATGAAAAGAAGGCTACTACTCTTTATAAGTTCTTGATATAAAAATTGAGGTTTTTTTGACGATGACATCAAGTGGAATTTTACTAAGTTCCTTCTGGACAAAGAAGGAAAAGTCGTGGAAAGATACGCACTAACCACCACATCTTTGAAAATAGAGGTACTACTTTGACAGTGTACTATATAATTTTACTTTACTTTTATTTGTACTTATTATTGCTACTATACTTTATCTTCCATAAAACAATACAAAGCCTTTTGGGGTTTGCATGAATTTAAGTGCCTTCTTTGAGGAACTATATTAACGATAATGCGAGTATGTGACCTTATGTATGAATAAAGGGATGTTTCTTCTAAAAAACTTGTATATTGATGGAAATTCATTAGCTTCTTGTTGTATGTAATAAATATTATTTATTTTAAATTATTAGCATAAATATTATTTATTTTAAATTATTGGATTCAACAATAACACAAGCTATCATGTTGACTCTTTTTCAGCATAAATATTATTTATTTTAAATTATTGGATTCAACAATAACACAAGCTATCATGTTGACTCTTTTTCACTCTCATTGTATGTAAAATTATTGGATTCAACAATAACACAAGCTATCATGTTGACTCTTTTTCACTCTCATTGTATGTATATCACCATGCTAATTGAATATTTTCCTGGTTTGTAATGTGATGCTGAATATTAGTTATTTGCAGTTAAGATCAATTAACTTTTTCTTGATTGTACGATCATTGTTATCACGCACACCATATATATATGGTTGAATATTAGGTTCCTTCTCTATAGACAATATCCTAAGTCATGTGAGATAATATTTAATTGACATTAATCTTGTGTATTGTGTATAAGTTTAATGCTTAATTATGGAAACATTATGGATTTTGACTCTTGTAGTTTCTTAATATGCATCACATGCAACGCACGTATAGCATACTAGTAGTTTAAAGGCTAAATATAAAAAAATCCCCTTACTTTAGAAAATAATCAGATAAACCCACATAACTTTAAAAATATCAGAAAGCTCCCTTACACTTAGGGGTTATCAGAAAAGCCCTGTAACTTTGAGATTTTATCAGGAAACTCAATTTATAGTGATGGATTTAGGGGGATTTTTGGATAAAATCTCAAAGTTGAATGGGGCATTCTAATAAAATCTAAAAGTTAAAGGGGGATTTCTAATAGTCATCATATTCAAGAGGTCTTTTTGACATTATATCTTAAAAATATACAACATAAAGGCAATCCATAAAACTATATCGGTATTTAAACTTAGGACAAAACTGGTTAGGGCAAAGAGAGATAACTAGCTTTCTAAGAAGTTATCAGTTTCTAGCTAAATTATTGAAGCATTATGTCCGTGCATGCACGGGTAGGTTTGCTTTTTCTTTTCCTTTTCCCTTTTTGACTAAAATTACGGTGATGAGTAAAGTTGAGAGAATAAAACTATATTAGAGACAAGTTTACAATTAACATGATCTAGGGTCAAATTTATAATTACCTACAATTTGGGGGATTCATATTAAAAATTTTGAAATTAATATATGGGTAAATTTCACTAAATCGAACAAGTTTGGTGTTTAGAATTAAATCCTCAATATGTTAAAAAATCTAACTAAACCTTAATAACGTTTAACAGAAATCCTCAAAATATCATTAGTTCATTTACAATCAAATGACCAAAATACACCCCAATAACCCAATAAACGTTGCATTTTTTTTACTTAGCCCCCAATATTTTTTGGCAAAAAATTTCAAATACCAGATGTTTATAATTTTCATATTTTTTTTACAATTTTGTTTGTAATTATTAGAATTTTGAACAGGTTGATTTCAATTTTTAGATTTTAGAGGGTGTGTTTCTAATTTTAGATTTTTTAGGGTTTGTTCATACTTATTATAATTTCAAGTTTTGTTGTAATTTTATTAGGAGTCATTTGTAATTTTTTTAATTTAAAGGGTCTATTTATAAGTCTTTAGACTTTTAGGGTGTTGTTTGCAATTTTAAAATGCAAAGGTGCTTTTTGTCATTTTTTTACTTCTTATGTTGGGGGTTGCTGTAATTTTCATGTTTTTAATGCATTTGTTTATTGATTTTTAAAGGGTTTTTTTTGTACATTTTAAATTTTAAAGGGGATTATTTGTACTTTTTAGAATTTTTAAGAGATTGTTTGTAATTTATTAATTTTTTGTGGGTTATTTATAGTTTTAGAATTTTAAGATTCCAATTTTAAAATGCAAAGGTGCTTTTTGTCATTTTTTTACTTTTTATGTTGGGGGGTGCTGTAATTTTCATGTTTTTAATGCATTTGTTTATTGATTTTTAAAGGGTTTTTTTGTACATTTTAAATTTTAAAGGGGATTATTTGTACTTTTTAGAATTTTTAAGAGATTGTTTGTAATTTATTAATTTTTTGTGGGTTATTTATAGTTTTAGAATTTTAAGATTCCTTTTTTCAATTTTAAATTTCAAGGATTCTTTTTTACAATTTTAGATTTTAAGAGGGCTATATGTTTATTTTTCAAGGTTTATAATTTTAAGTGGGTTTTCTATAATTTTTAGGAATTCAAAAAGGGGTTGCTTCTAGTTTTAAAAATTTTCTCTGTTATTTGTAATTTTAGATTTCTTAGGTACATGTTTGTAATTTTTCATATTTTTAGGCTTTTTTGTAAATTTATGGGTTAACTCGTAAATCAGAATGATTTGAGGGGTATATACTTCCCTTGAGGATTAAATTTAGTGGATGTAAAATTTCGGGTAACACCATTATGGAAGTTAAGTGCACAAAATCAAAATACTTTGGATGTTTTCTGAAATTATCAAACATACTGAGGATTTAGTGAGGGCCGCAAACATTTTGGGAGTTTATTCTCAATTCAAAGTGATGGGAGGTTTATCGAAATTTACTTTTTAAAATAATTAAGGAGGGGATACATAACATTTTTTAGGTTTTCTAATTGTTGATAGTTACAATTTATTTAGAACTAACAAAGATTTGATATTAAATTTTCTATTTTTTATGGATAAAAATAGTATTAATTTAATGAGAATTCTAACGAAGATAAAATTAGTTGAACACATGTCATCTTCTAGTAGGATAGAATACTAGTTCACTATTTGCTCTTTTTCATATTATATATCGGTTAAATATTTTATCCATAATTTAAATATATATTATTAGTTATGATGAGATTAAAATGTAATATCTAAAAGGGTTAAGGGTAATATTGACTATAAAATTAGTTTGTGAGGAATTGTTAGGAGTAGCTCCACCCTCGTTGCCCAGAAGGAATATAAGATTGAAGTGGTTAAAAGATACTTTCTCACATCCGTTGCCAGCTGATGCATTCTAAGAAATGATCGAGCAACATACACGTGTATATATTATGCACATGATCGGGACATTTCCATTTCCCTATTCCAGTAAGATAAAGTGCTTTTGAGGTAATATAATTTGTAATTTGAATGTATATAATTGAATTGTTTACTTGAATTATTATAATGTATTTCTTTCATTATGATAGGTGGTTACCACTTCTCGAGAACTTAGACCCTTGTGGGATATTATCACGGGGTGGTGTTGTTTTAGCATATCTGTACGGAGAAATGTTCAAGGTGGCTTTCAGACAAAATAAAGAGCTCAAGGGATGTATGACTTTATTATAAGTTTAGGCATGGGAGAAACTTGTTATGAAACAAAGATTATGTGAGACTCGAGCTTTAGATGCACCATTTCCACTTGGCTACAGGTCAATACTTCCGAATCTAGCCAATGCATAAATATTTTTGAATTATAGTAGCGGCATTAGATGCTAAACTTTGATCATTCATACATATGGAATATCCAAAAATGCTATGGTGAGACCCCGACAAAACAGTCAGACTTTTACAGAAACAAGCTTAATCACATGAATATTTATGAGGTATAGAATTTTGTTTAAGAAATTTAATCTACAACAAAATTTTAACGGGATACTACTATGTGAAAATATTTTCTAGTTCAAGTGGGAGCCATATCATGATCACCTAGCTCATCTACCACCAATTTGCACGAAGGCCCAAGTATATGGAGAGCAAGAGCTCATCTCATACGCTTGTGGATCGTATGCTTAGACAGTTTGGTTTTGTGCAATGCATTCCAAAAAATAGTTGAAAGAATAGAGAGAAATGCCAAGAAAGGCAAGCATCAAATAAATTGAGCAAATATGCATCATGAGTACATATATTGATGGATGATAGGCATTTAAGTATCATGGAGCAGATTGATCTTCATCTTCTAGAACCAGATTATATTAGGTGGTATTGGAGCACTACTAGAAGATGGATAATAAATCAGATCACGGATTTACTCGATGAACAGCAACAATATGCCCTACAACATATACATGCATATGGGTATAGATGAGAGAAAACTTGTAGGTTATTTACTAGCAAGTCCACTTGTTTCGTATCGCTACAATTTGCTTATATATGTAACTTTTTGACTTAATTGCATATAAATGATGTAGATGTTATTGAGGCTATTGCAAACAAGGGTCTAGCACTTTTTGTCGCAGGAACAGATCCAAGAGTACATGCATCTCTATATTAGTGTATAGTGAGGAGGGTTCATAGAGTTTTGCATCGAACTCATGAATATTTTCATAATGATAGAGAGGTGATTGTGAAGGAGGATCTTATATACGTATGCCGACCAGATTGACGGAGACGAGAAGGATCTTGTAGGAATGATGATGAAGTTGGACTGTCACAACTTCACACACAACCAGACAACCAGCTCGTGCAAGCTCAAGTCCATAGAGGACAACGACGATCTGAGTGGATAAGAAGAGAGAGGCAAAGGGGGCATTCTAGGTTGTATGTGATCGATTTATGAATTTTCTGTATGGAGTCTATTTAAATTATCGATATAAGTTATATATAAATCAAAACACTTAATATCTTTAGTTTGGTTATGATGTTTTGGTGTATGGAGATAATATCTATTGGCGCGATGTTTTATCAATTGCATTTTGTTGTGATGTTTTGGTTTTGGTCGTGGAAGACAATATGCATTTATATGTTTAGAAGTCTATTAAGTTATGTACAAGAATTTATATGTTTGGATATGAACATGAGGTGAACTGAAAACTTTAGAAATTTTATATGCACATGAGATATTTTGTATGCACAAGAGATAATCGATAAACAAGCGTGCAAGTACACGGGACTACTAGTCCTATGTATTTTCTAGTTCTATCTGCAAAATACACAAGAGTGGTAGTCTTGTGCGTTTTCTGACTTTAATTACTTTTGTAATTAACGCTCAATAATTACACGGGACTCGTAGTCCCGTGTATTTCAAAGATGATTTTTTGCAAAATCGATCTCTTTTTGGCTAGCCTTAATGGCATTGGCCAAAAAGAGATCAATTTTGCTAATTATTTAGCAAAAGGGCCATTTTTGCTAATTATTTTTAAAAACGGTCTTTTTAAAAAAATCTCCTTTTACATATCGATGATCACATCAATATAGCTATTAAGCATCTTGTTTCTACATAAAACTTTCACCCTATAGGTCCCATAAATAAGTTTCTAGTGAATCAGTAAGAATCATTTGTAGATATTTTCCTTTCCTAGTTCATACCAATCGTCAAACAAGAAGCCTGGTCCATCCTGACATGAAACCAAAATTGATCTTCGGGCACCTCGTGAACGTAAACTTTGCATCATGAATGCGCACATTATGATTTATCAGCCATTAAGTTTGCGTCCCTTTCGTTGAAATTCAATCCTTCTAGAATTATTGCATGTGCATCACACATGACACGAAATCGAATCAAGCATTATTAAAGAAACAAAACTCTTCCAGCTTGCTTGGACATCTTAAAAGTCAAGGTTATCCATGAAACAGATAGGTCAACCGAATGCAGAAGAAAAACACAGAAACGCGAGCAATTTAATCAAAATAAAAAATTTTAAATTTTAAATGTGATTACGAACATCAGAATCTATGGTAGACTTGTTAGAAACAGATATTTTTGTCGCATCAAGTAACTATGAGACAAGTCTATGACAACATATATCTGTCCAGGAACAGAATACATTGCAGATTAAAAGCCGATTCAGATTGCCATTCAGTTTATCCCCCCGCCCCGCCCCCCCGGGGGCCCCCCCCCCCCCCCCGCCCCCCCCCCCCAGAGAAGATAGGGAGCTCAAATGGCATGCCTTCAATTGCAGGTGAACGCTGATTTTTTTTGTTCTTAGCACGATTCAATAGAAATGAAGATGTGTGACAATTAAAGATCTTATGTATTTGTACCGTTTTGGCGAAACAATGTAGGTAGGTTAGCCTGCTGTGTAGTCCGGTGTGGTGTTTGAAAAGTAAGGAATCAAACCTTAGATCTGCTAGATAATTTACCAAGGAAAGTTGCATCTAGCTTAAACTCAACTGATTTCCTGCTGATAGAGAAAAGAAAAAGAATTTTGTCAAAACAGATCATGTAAAACTTGTAACAAACCAAGTTCTGACATTTTTCTACAAGAAAAGTATATCTGAAATCTAATGTTTTAATTCCGTAAATAAACTTAAGCATCCTGATTTTTGATAGAAGGGAAAGACCATCTTGCTTATGCTTGAGCTCCAATGAAGAATGTAACAGGTCCAAGTTTATTTCCCCAGGGGATACTACAATGACATATGAAAGAAGAGGAAAATATGACAACTGTTCTCGAGTATAGATAAGGGCTGATACAAATTAGCTCTCAATGAGTGCAAATAAACCGACTCTTAAAGCACAGAACATAATTTGTTAAGATAAGAAGACACGGTGTGTTCCAACAATCTCTTGGACATTCGATCTGAAACTCATCCTACATGATACTAACACTTCAATGGACATGTTAATGAAAAAAAGAAAATCAACTCATGAGCTGATATGAACAGCTTTAAATTGCATGTGAAGGAATTACTGGGCTATATTACCTCCAATCTCGTGGCAGATTGTCGATTAGTTCCTTTCGATCTTGAGGGAAGAAACTCCAAGCACTCTCCTGACAGCTCGTCAACAAGCTTCCTTCTGTTGTTCAGAGAATGAACTTTTCGTTAAAGGTCCATCCTTCTCTATTCAAAATAATATTATCCAAACTGCAATTTTTCATCTTTGCAATTAGCAAACTCGGTATCTCAGCCAAGACAACCACTCTGTATTTGGCTGAGTCCGGGCACTTTAACACCTTGTTTCTTCCACTCCTCTCTAACTCTACACACTTCATCCCACATTTCAGAGCTCGCATAAATATTAGATATTGCAATATACATATCCGAACTCTGCTTGTTTCTCTTAGTCATCTCAGCCACTTTACTTCCAATCTCCAAATCCCCATGCATTCTACACCCCGCAAGCAATGCACCCAAAATAATAGAACCATCGATACCATCCAAAATCTCATCTTTTATCTCCTCCACCAATTTCCAAGCCTCCTCGAGCTTCCCTGCTCTAGCTAACATATCGATTAAACAAGCATAGTGATCTCCCCTAGGAGAAATACCAAATTTTTCTCTCATTAGGTTAAAGTAATGCGTCCCTTCCCTAACCAAGCCACTATGACTACAAGCACTTAAGATGGACACAAATGTAACCTCGTTTGGCTTAAACCCCATGCTCATCATTTGCTCTAAAAGGTCAATGGCTTCGATGCCATATCCATGGGAGGCATAGCCATTGATCATCGAGGTCCAAGAAACAACATTCTTCTCTCTCATCGTGTCAAATACTCTCCATGCATAAGCCAAGCTACCCGATTTTGAGTACATATCAAGAAGGGATGTTGTCAAAATCAAAGAATTATCTCCATCTACTGCTATCATCTTGAGCGCTTTTCCATGTATCTGCTTGCCTAAGTCTATTGCCGCTAGGCTACTACAAGCATTGAGGGCCGAAGCAAAAGTATAGAAATTCCCACGAACTAGGCCCTCTTCTCTATACAACCTAGCCATCAATCTCAATCCTTCATGAGGCAATCCACACTGCACATGTCCCGCTATCATGGCAGTCCACGATATCACATTCTTTATGGGCATCTTGTCAAAGTAACCACGTGCTTCCTCAAGAAATCCACAATGCAAACATCCCGAGATCATCGAATTCCAATGAGAAACTTGTTTTCTCTCCTTCAATCCAAAGAGAACCTTTCGCGCATCTTCGATACTAGAACACTTACAATACATATCGATCAAAGCACTCCCAAGAGCCACATTGTCATAGAATCCCAACACAATTACAGCACAATGTACCTTCTTTCCAACACTAAGCAACCCAAGATTCGCACATGCTGTTACAATAGAAACCGCCACACTACTATCCACCTTCAAAATCCTAACCAAATCGCCATTCCATTGAATCTTCCTAATCGCTTTGATATATCTCTCACTGAAAACATACCCATTAACCATCATGAGCCTATCCATCACGCTCTCCTCTCTCCCCTCCATCACTCTCTCTGCACACTCCACCGCCTTGCATTTTAGATACATGTTAGCCAATGAACTAACAACTGCACAATCTGACTCAAACCCAGACGAAATCACAAACCCATGAATCTGAATCCCAAATCTAATATCCCCAATCCCTGCACAAGCAGTCAGCACACTCGAGACAGCAAATTCGTCAACACCCAACTCAAATTCTACACATCGAAGTCTCGAAAACAAGCCCAGAGCCTCAAATCCTTCTCCGGCAGTTGCATAGGCTGACATCATCGCATTCCAAGTGACCCGATTTCGTTCGGGCATTTCATCGAACACTTTGCGCGCAAAGGCCACATCGCCGCATTTCGAGAACGCAGAGACTAATGAGGTTGCCACGACGACGTGGGCATCGCAGGCTAGCTTAATGACGTGGCAGTGGAGGGAGCGGACGGTGGTGGGGTCCGCAGCGGCGCGGGCGAGGGAGGAGAGGAGGAAGGGGTTGGACTGAGTGCCCCCCAGGTGGAGGGAGGTGGTTGAGAAGGTGGTGCTTAGGATGGGCGAATAGGCATGTGGATGCGGTGTTAGGGCCCACAGGTGGTAGGCGGAACCATGGCGGAGTACACGGTACCGGGTCACGGGGAGTGGAGTGGGTGTGACACGTTCGAAGACGCGGGGGGTAGGTTTGAAGGCCAGGGTGGGGGGTGGACGTAGCGCTAGCCGTGAGGGAGCTTGGTGCGGTTACGCGGTTGACGTCGAGGCCGAGCTTGAGGAGGCGGCCGTGGTGGGCCCGGGTGTTCATTGTTGTTAATGGGTTTTGGGCATGGAAATGGGTTTTAGTGAGGTCGGAAGTGGACCGGGTTTGGGCGTAGTCATTTATTACTCTATTAACATATTTAATCTTGCCAGACGTAGATGCATGAAATTGGGCCATGCAAGTAGGGGTGCCAAACCGTATCCGTATTCGAGGAAATATCTGTAACCGTATCCGTTAGGATACGAATATGGTTACTCAAATCTACAACCGATAGGGTATGATTACGGATATGGTTTTGTAGTGAAATATCCATATCCGTATCCGAAAATATCCGAATACATATTGGTCACACTCTTACGATAGTTTCGATTCTTAGATTATGGATTTGTGGTTAACTTTAATGATCAAGATGTCTAATCTTAGTTTTTCAATCATAATGAACATATTAACGAACTCATTTTGTATCACTTGACTATATTTTTCTGAATACTATCTAGTTTTCTCATATCCTTTTTGTATCCACACGCATATCCGTTTATATGTCCGCATCTATATCCGTAACCGTATCCGATTTTGGCGGATATGGATATGAATTTTTCTTACCGACATATATCTGTATCTGTATCCGTATCCGAGATGGGTAAGCGGATATGGATATGGTAAGTGTCATATCCGAGTCGTATCCGCTCCGTTAACACCCCTACATGCAAGGCCTAATTTAGGCGCAACTAGCCAAGGTCATGGCCTTCTCATAGGAGTGCACAAAAATGCCTACATTTGAGAAGATATATGTATCCATGTACAATACGGATATTGTTGCTATAATCCATACCGATAGGACATGATTACAGATATGGTTATCTAGAAATATCCGGATCAGCGTCCAAAATATCTAAATATATATTTATCATATTGTTGTGACATTTTTAATCCTTAGAGCTTGTTTGATACAATGATAAAGGGGATTAAACATTATATTGGTAAAACCATATTTATTATCATATTAACAATCAATTTGGACAGAGAAGAGGGTAGGAGAGGGGGATGATTGATCTAAACCCAAAAGGATGGACTGAAAAGGAAAAGAGTATAATGTAATTAGTTGTGTTTGGATAGACGACTAGAGAATATAGAGGGAATGAGAGTGATAGAACTTAATTGTGTTTGTTTAGAGTGAAAAATAGGAAGAGAATGAAGCAATTCAATTAAAATCCAACCGCTCCCCTCCCAATCAGTCCACTTTGTGAAGGTTCAGAAAGTGAGAAGATTTACATCTTTTTAACCCCACCAATCTTTCCCCTCACTTACTACAAAGCGTAAACAAACAAAGTTTCAAGATGATTAGCATTGTATCCTCCCCAACTCCTCCCTTTCCCTCTTAAAAAAAGCTATCTAAACCCAGCATATAATTTCACTAGGGGGGGTTAGTCACATAGAACTTTTTAAGTAGAACTGGGATAATTGGTAAAGTAGGATAATTTTTTGACACTGGGATAATTTAGTAGAACAATGATGGATAATTCTTGAAGTGGGATAATTTGGTAGGATAATTTGGTGGGATAATGATGGATAATTTTATGAAGTGGGATAATTTGGTAGGATAATTTGGTGGGGGTAATGGTGGGTATAAATTATTATTATTGATAATTGTATATTAAAAATAATACAAGATTGATAAGCAATTGATTAGTCTAGTAATAACTATAAAAATAAAGCAATAAAACATCACTATTCATCTCAAATAATAAAATATTTTACAACTAAATAAAAATCTAAATCCCTAGAGTGACTCGACTTCCATCATCCCACATGGCCTCCGCCATAGAATTTCTCCAAGCTCCTGCAGCTACTCGTTGAGTTTGTTGAGTCTGTAACTCATCTTCTTCATCGGAGTCATCATCTACATCAGCAACATTTCGTGGAGCTTCTAGTGGAAGATCATAAATGTCGAAGATAAACTTACCAAATGAAATGTTAGGATGGGGGGTGGGTTTGGTTTATTTAACCATGCACATACTAACCCGAAAAGTTTCAAAACTTATCAAAAACCCCTAACATCAAAAAATTTATAAAAAGTCCCCTTGTAAAATATGAAATTACAAACAACACCCCAACAATTACAAAACTATAAAAAAAACTCACAAAATTTTCAAAAATTGCAAAACCACCCAAAAATGCAAAACATACAAAAAACACTAAAAAGTGAAAACCTTACAAGAATGACCATAAAAAAAGTTAACTTACGACAAACACCTTAGAATTTTAAAAATTACAACAAACACCCTCAAAAATCATATTTGTTGATGCCTGATATCACACAGCCGATGGGGTCTTTCCGCCGAGGGATGCACTTGTGATCTTCGTACTGACGGGAAAGAGGAAGAGGATGAGAGGTGGGGCCGCTTCCTCCTCCGACTTTGTGCCCGATCATTGGACTGGAATTCCCGATCCCTCTGCACAAGCAAGAAGAAACCAGTAAGAGGGCGGGGATCGGTTCCCCTGTGGTACCTCCGACGGTCAAGTCAACTGGTGAACTTGAGTAGGGTTTGAGGGAAGGTCCGAGGATCATTGAGGTCCCCGTCTTCATTACTCTTATTAACTTTTTAAAAGAAGGCCTAGCTTTTAGAATTACTTAGAGCTTTAGCCAAAAAAGAGTTAGAGATCTTCAAAGAGTTCAAGAAAAAAAGTCCTCTTCTTCTTACTCCCTCACCTCCTTTTATAGTCTGTCACCTCTGAGATTGACCTTTGGCTTTAACTATGCACAGGAGGGTGGTTCGGGGTGAGCAGACAGGCTGCCGAGTCATCCTCTACTTTACAGATGTCGGCTGGTGGCTGACGGATGTTAGACCCTAGAGGGGGGTGATTAGGGTCTTATGCTAATCTAATCTGATTTAAATGCCAATTAAAACTAATTCAAATATTATTTTTGCAAGATAGATATACAATATGTTATGAACAAGAATATGCAATATGAACAAAGAAATATATCCTAGCAAAGAGGTATATGATGAAATATATGAAAGGATATATAAATTAACACAAGGATAAACAATCTAAACTAAAGATACAATTGTGATAGGATAATATAAACAATGTAAACACACAATATGATCACGGAGTTTGGACCTTCTGTCCTACGTCTCTGCTCCCCACTCCCGGGGAGAAATCCACTATCACAACTGGGTTTTCTATACTCACCCGAATAACATTTACACCTCACACTCGGTTTGTTAGCTAACCGAAAACTTTATAATCTCATACTCTTGTAATCCCACTTTACACCATCTTAAGTGTTGGTCTCTAGTCTGTATCTCCCTCAAGTGTTAGGAATTACAACATCTCTCTAGGCATTACCACCTACTGCACTCCTCTTAGGACGACCCCGTCTCTCATCACACACTCCTCTCGGTGTACAAGTGTATTACAAAGTGAATCTCACAATAAGCACAATATAACAAATGATTGTTCTCTAATATGGATGAGAACACAATGAAAGCTCACACTCTAAGTCACAAACCCACAACCCTAAATTATACTATGAATATAAATACAATAAGCTCAATAGGTTGTGTGTGAACAAAGAGATAAATTAAATCAAACCAAACTCAATTTAAATCTAGCTTATGAAAGTTATGAACAAAATAATAAATAGCTAGAAATAGAGTTTAGAAAAACTTCTCTATGATAACAAGAGAGAGAGGGATAAGAGTTGGATGCTCAAACATCAATGGATGATCTTCCTCAAGCTCTTGTGAAATTGTTTTCACAAAACAAATTCTCAATTACTTAAAAGCTTTTTAAACAAACACTAAACAAAACTTTAAACCCTTGTTAAACCTTCTTAAAACATTCTATTGAGTTATCTTTAGAACTGAGGATATGTGGGGGTATTTATAGGAACCCCAAAGCTAAGAGAAAACAAGGCAAAAAGACCAAAAACCCAAAAACAGTACAATCTGAAAATATAGCCGTTACAGTGTTATGAGTCAACTCGATACTGTTCATGAGTCGACTCATAAGTAGCCGTTACAGGCTAAAAACCAACTTATGGGTCGACTCATAAAATTCATGAGTCGACTCATCATGCATGGGTCGACTCATGAAGTCATGGGTCGACTCAGCAGAAACAAAACACATTTTTCAGCACAGTTTATGAGTCGACTTATGATAAGCATGAGTCGACTCAACCTGTCTGGGTCGACTCATCATGTTATGAGTCGACTCATCAGAAATAAAATGTAAACTATACAACAGTTTATGAGTCGACTCAACATTGTTCATGAGTCGACTCAAGACATGCACATAGTCTATTTTAAACAGAAATCTGATTTTCAAACCTCTTTTAAAAATAGCAAATAAAATCAGAAAAATATAAAACTTTGGAAAATGATTGTAAACATGATAATATACATATTACAAAAACTGGTTTTTAAAAAGGGTCTCCCAAATGAAAAATATCATCATTTTTTAAAATAGTCCAAACATGAAAATGTAAACACATGAGTTTTAACATTTTAGCTTAACCATGTTTTGAAACATTACAAAATGATTTTGTAGACTTAATAAAAGATGTATATGATTATTATTAAGTCTAAAAACTAAGAATATAATATTTTCACAAATACAATAGAATATGAAACATATGAGTATGTATATGAATATATATTTGTTTCATATCTATGAAATTAAACCAAAACATATATGTATATATATAACTATATATATACAAAACCAAAATGTGTATGTGTGTATATAATTGAGCTTAAAATACTAACACACATAATATAAACCTAAAAACTAAATATACCCAAGCTATGATCTTGATCTTCAATAAGCTCTTCTTGGTAAACTTGCTGATGAAGCTTAAACTTGGATCTTCAACTTAAATTGTATTGCTTCACTCCACTATTCTGCCAGCCTCCATTGGATATGATCGTGAAAGCTTGATTCCATTCATCCTCCAATGCGTTGTTTGTCTACAATAAATAGAAATATACCAATACTAGACAAACAACATTAGTGATAAATTATTTGTTAAACATCATCAAAACAAAGAGGCCAACAATAGGAAAGTTATTCGAGCACAGGATAGGACGTCTGGGAGATATCTCAGATTCGATAGATGAGACAGGACGGGGGATAGACCGACAGTTTGTGCCTCCTTCCCTTTCCAGATGGCGGTTGGCGACTAGAGGGGAAGTCACTCGAGCACAGGAGAGTATCTTAGTGATCTCTGGGAAGTGACTTGTGGGCAGAGTGAGCTATTTTCACACGAGGTTTATCAGAGTTGAGATCTTGATAAGATCGCTCGATAAACTGTGGTGTTGATTGATGTATATCTGAATGTGGCTTAGCTGGATCTTATCCCTTTCGTGTAGACGTATCGATTTGTGGATCGCCTCTATGATTTGTCGACAAGTCAGTCAAGTGAGCTTTTGGCCAAGTGAGCTGCCGAGAAGGTGGTCGAGCTGATTATTTGGGGAGTCGTCTCAACTTATGAGGGGCTGACTAATCCCGCACTTCGAGTCGGTAGAAGATGACTCGTCTCCTCGACGGGTCAATAGACTTGCTCTTGGCTGGGCTTCTGGGCCGCTAAGTTGGTTTGGACCATAGCTTTTTTGGGCCTATGAAGGCAATCTCTCGACATCTTTATCTTTAAATGGTAAATTACCATAACACTAGTTAATTTATTCAAGTTGTTTTGTAATGAGTTATACTGGTCGTTGATTCAAAAATATGATTTTTGGTTCATAAGTTTTAGGAGTAAAAGCACTTATATAAATTGCAAAACACTTGTTTACAACTAGTGTAGTTGTATGTTAGAAGCACGATAGTCCTATTTGAGTTAATATAATCCCTATGTTATCTAGTTTTTCAATTTGTTGCATAACTAGATAGATGCATATTTCTTAATATTGATTTATCTAGTTTTTCAATTTGTTGCATAACTAGATAGATGCATATTTCTTAATATTGATTAAGTTATATGTTTTATATCTTTGTTGCATAACTAGATAGATGCATATTTCTTAATATTGATTAAGTTATATGTTTTATATCATCTTGCATGAATGTTATGTTTATGGATGGTAGTGGACAACGATTTTCTTGCATTTATTGTATTGGTGTAATATAGCTAGATATGTAATATTATTTACGACATCTTCCCTCCCCGAGCATGGGCTTCGCCTACGGGTTTAGGTACTTTCTCATCGATCATGGGCTACGCCTACGGGTATAGACCCTTATTCGGCTGTGGAGGGGTGTGGTTGTTTAGTTTAGTTATTTTATTTATAGCTTTTATTTTATATTCAATGCAATATTATTACTCATCCTACGAGATGGTTTTTTTCATAATAAATGGGGCTTGCACATCCTATGAATATGTGATTGTAATAATACAGGGTTTGTAAGGGAGCTAGCACTGCAAGGAGTTGCAAATTGCTTGTCAAAATATAATTAGTGTAGTTGTATGTTATTCCTTTAGTTGTCCACTACCATTCCATATTGCTTTTACATATGTTGATATGTTGGTTGTACCCCAATTGTAGATGTCAATACAATTGGGTGTTATATTCTATAAAGTTTATATCTCTATCTCACTAGAGAATAGTTTTTATTATAAAAACTCATTTTTAAACTTTGTAAGATATGGCAATAAGATTTTATTGACCATAGAGTGGTGAGACCGACATTAACATAGCGTTAGTGTAAAAGATAAATAAATCTAAAGTAGTTAAAAATGTATTTAGAATGAACTTTTAACTAGTGTTAATAAAAGTAATTATGAGATATAGCTCATGGGGTGATGCCCAACTTAAGATTAGGGGTGATGCCCAATCTTTCGCGCTATAGTCTTAAAGAGCGGTGGTTACTTAATTAAAATCCGATGAATATTCCCCGTGAATAGCTCGGAACCCTTCCACCAATATTGTGCTTACCTGGCTAGTTTAATTATTACAAGTATAAATATAGAGCATCTTTTAACTATATTAAGTTTGATTACGGTAAAAGATTTGTGAAATTGTCCGTAGCCCTCCATCATTTCAGCTGAATACTATTAAGCTTATAAATACTATATTTGTTGGCATACGTCAAGGCATAACTATTCTATGGATAAGTAGTATTCATCTGTATATTTGATAGAAGGATAGCTTAAGTTGGTTATGCGACTTTGTTGGCATACGTCAAGAGTTTGTATAAGTTAAATTTAAGCCAGTTAAGAAATGATGGGTCCAAACATAACTAGCATTTTGTGATTTGTTGGCATACATCAAGGTCATAAAAGACTAGGAGTAAAATTATATCAAGAATTACAAGAATATAAAAGATAAAAGTTGTCTACCAATTATTGAATGTATCAATTTGTTAGCATACGTTAAGGTTGATACATTCAATGATAATTGGATCTTGATCCCACTTAAAAACAAGGGGTTGTTTTCCGATCACCTCTTATAAGGTTTTGAGGGACTCGAAAAATAATAGGAGACATAACTTAGATGAAAATGATCCAAATCTATTTTATGTATTAAACATCTTCTAAAATATTTTTTCCTATCTCTTTCAGACCATTAGGTCTGGCTTAAAAATCATATCAGAACAGAACAAGTTAACCGATCCTAATTACATAGACTGGTTAAGAAATATTAAGAGTATCTTTAATTCCTCTCTCTATTCTTCTCTTTTCTCGTGTACCAAGGTTTATATCCGGTGTTTTCAATTTCTCTAGATTTTTCACTTATTCATTTAGTTTCTTGTAAATAAATTATATTTATCTTTATTCTAATCATGACATCTGCTAATTCCATTGTCTTTTCGGTAAGTGTACATATATTCCAAGTAGCTAATCTAATTCTATTTTCTTATAAAAGTCTCCTAGCATTTCCCCTTTTAGATTGATCTAGTCTATACCTAATACTATTAGGTACCCTAGTAGAGGATTGTAGATTCTTGGAATACCCTTGCTTACTTGTCATTACACCGGGGTGACATCAATGTAATGCATCGCTTCAGGGTGACGCCCTAGCAAACCACCATTGCTTACTTATCATTGCATCGGGATGAGATCGATGCAACGCGTCGCAGTGGGGACGCCCCAACGAGTATATAATAATAGGATTCATATTTCATGTGGATCCAACTATGTTTTACACTCGTTGTCAACTACCTAACATAGTCTTCCTCCTTTATGCTGACTTGTGACAGGCAGTGCCGACGGAGGTTTTAAGAACCTCCAAAAGATTTCTAAAATCAAGAAGTCTGCGATCCTCCAAAAAGATTTCTAGGGGTATGAAACTACTCAGCTTCTTCCTCCTTCCATCAAGCTTTTTGACCCTGACTTTGAAATTGTAACGCTCCTCGCCTTTAAATACTGTCAGTCTCATCCCAACAACGGCCAAGACGTACTGAAAGCTCTTCGAAGGAGAAGGGGGAAATAATAATAATAATAATAATAATAATAACAAATGATATCTCCTCTCTCCTTCCTGTTGATATTATTGTTAGCCCCGCCTCCCATTTTAACCACAGCATCACTCTCATCCCAGCTAAGAGCTCTCCTCCAATGGAAATCCACGCTCCGAAACCAAACCCCACTCTCTTCGTGGTCCCCCTCTACTCCCCCGTGTTCATGGGCCGGCCTCACCTGTACCCGGTTCAACTCTTCGGCCCAGGCTTACGTCCTCGTCACCGAAATCGGGCTTCCAGCCCAAAACCTCACCGGCCGACTCGACGCCTTGGACTTCGCTCCGTTCTCGGGTTCCCTGACTCATCTCGATCTCTCCGGCAACTTTCTTCACGGGCCGATACCCGGGACGATCGGCCTGCTCCATCGACTCAGGGACCTATACCTACCCGACAACCAGCTTTCGGGCCCAATTCCGGCCCAAATAGGCCGGCTCCGAAGCCTGTCGAGGCTGGCTTTGTATTCGAAACAGGCCTGACGGGGCCCAATACCCCGTGCCCCTCGGCAACGCTCACCGGCCTCGCTTGCTTCCGCACTGTACCAGAACCTAGATCAAGCGGCAGCATCCCTTCGGAGATCGGAAACGCTCAGCGGCCCTCCTCGCGTTTGATCTCTCCTACAACCTCCTCTCAGGGCGAATCCCCGCGTCTCTTGGAAACCTTGCGAACGCTGAAAACGCTGCAGCGTTTTCAACAACGAGCTAATCTGGGCGAGATACCGCCGGAGGTCGGCAACATGACGTCGCTGGTCGACCTGCAGCTCTCCGACAACTTCCTCTCGGGCTCAATCCCCTCCAGCCTCGGGGGCCTCGTGAGGCTGCAGAACCTGGTCTTCCCGGACAACGCTCTTTCCGGCGGGATCCCGGGCGAGATCGGGAACCTGAGGGAGCTGAGGGTGCTGAGCCTGCACGACAACGACCTCACCGGCGGACGGAGCTCTCCCTCTTGTATCTGTACAGGAATCGGTTGTCCGGTAGCATCCCGCCGGAGCTCGGGAAGCTTGGGAACCTGGTGCACCTGTATCTCTACACCAACCACTTGTCTGGGGACATTCCTGCGGAGCTGGGAAACCTTACGAGCCTGATGCACGCCGTGCTGTCTGATAACCACCTCGTCGGTCCGATCCCTTCGAGCTTCAGGAACCTGGTGAGCCTCGAGATTCTGTACCTCCAATATAACCACATTTCCTCCTCCATCCCTCCGGAGCTCGGCGAGCTCCAGAGCTTGGCGCTGCTGAATGCCTCGGGGAACAGCCTCGCCGGCGTCTTGCCAGCGTCGTTCGGAAACATGTCGTCGCTCCGCCGTTTGTCCCTCTTCAGCAACCAAATATCTGGTTTTGTACCCCCCGAGCTCGGAAACGCGACCAGCTTAGCCTATCTCGACCTCGCCAACAATCTACTGACCGGGTCGGTTCCTCCTGCTCTCGGGAACCTGAGGAACTTGACCACACTTGCTCTCCCCAACAATCAAGTCTCGGGCTCGATCCCAAGGGAGTTGGCAAATCTCCGGAACCTGCAGCAGCTAATTCTTGAGATAAACAATCTCACCGGCCCAATTCCTTCGTCTCTCGGAAATCTCAGTAGCTTAGTAGACCTGAGATTGTCTCTGAATCAGCTCTCAGGTTCTTTGCCTCCAGGAATCTCGAAACTAGCCAACTTTGTATCGTTTGAATTGAGTAACAACAGTTTTTCAGGCTCTTTGCCGCCCGATATTTGCAGAGGGGGAGCTCTTGAGTTCTTCGTTGTGAGCTACAATCAGTTCCGAGGTGAAATACCGAGGAGCATTAGGAATTGCACTAGCTTGATTCGAGCTCGTCTTGAGGGTAACAACCTCTCTGGCAACTTCTTCGATGCCTTTGGAGTTCACCCGAATTTAGTGTATATTGATCTGAGCTCCAATAAGCTCTCTGGTGAGATTTCACCCAGCTGGGGAGGATGCTCTAACTTAACTAGCTTAAGGATCTCAAATAACAATATCAGTGGAAGAATTCCATCTGAATTGGTTCGCTTATCTGGGCTCGGAGTATTAGATATATCTTTGAATCGGTTGAATGGAGGGATACCAGCAGATGTCGGTAATCTGACATCATTGTTCAACTTGAATATGAGCAACAACCAATTGACAGGGGAACTGCCAGTTGGAATCAGTAAACTGTCAGAGCTCCAGTTTCTTGATCTATCATCAAACAACTTGACAGGTTCAGTGCCAGAACAACTCGGTGATTGTTCTAAGCTCCTATTCTTGAATTTGAGCAATAATCATCTGAACGGTAGCATCCCATTTCAAATTGGCAATCTCCTAAGCTTGCAGCAGTCATTGGATTTGAGTCGCAACTCATTCAGTGGCACTATACCAGCCCAAATTGGAAACTTGATGAGGTTACAGTACCTGAACTTTTCTCACAATATGATATCAGGCTCAATTCCATCTTCATTCAAGGACTTACTTAGCCTATCAAATATAGATTTATCATACAACCTCCTCGAAGGGCCGGTCCCTGACACTCAATTCTTTCAGAATGCATCAGAGGCCTCATTCTCGCACAATAAAGATTTGTGTGGAAAAATTCGAGGTCTGCATCCTTGCAAGTCAAATTCCATAAGCAATAGCAACACCCATAAAAAAAATTCCAAGAAATTCATTTTGGCTGTCGTGCTCACTGTCATCGGTGTCTTGTCTCTTCTCCTTCTAAGTTTGATCCTTATCAAGAAGAGATCAAAAGGAACCGAGAATGGCACAAGAGAAGCAAGCGTTAGAGATACTTTCGCGATTTGGAACTTTGATGGGAAAATTGCATACGACGATATAGTTACAGCAACAGAAGATTTCGATGAAAAATACCTGATTGGTATGGGGGGATATGGTAGTGTGTACAAAGCAACTCTGCCCACACAAGAAATTGTAGCTGTAAAGAAAATCCACCCATTAGCTGAGAATAATGCAGATGAGAAAAGTTTCAGGAATGAAATCCAAGCACTTACCCAGATTCGCCATCGCAATATTGTGAAGCTTTATGGATTCTGTTCAACAAATAGATGCAAGTTTCTAGTGTACGAGCTCATGGAACGGGGAAGCTTGGCGAGCATTCTTGATAATGATGAAGGAGCCATGGATTTGGATTGGAACAGAAGAGTGAGCATTATCAGAGATGTTGCATATGCTTTATCTTATATGCATCACGATTGTAGTCCTCCGATTATTCATCGTGATGTATCGAGTAAAAATATTCTGCTGGATTCTGAGTATAAGGCTTGTGTATCGGATTTTGGGACAGCGAGGCTTTTGAAGCCTAACTCGTCGAATTGGACTTCAGTTGCAGGAACTCATGGATATGTGGCCCCAGGTAAGTTTCTATTACGTCCCAGATAGCATAAACCTAAGCCTATGCTGCATTAACACTTCTACTAATAGCACTTATGCATGTGCATTACTTCATAAATAGCTTTAATATAGCCGCAGGATACTTTCATGCATTCTTGATTATGGATATAGATCAAAAATGGCGTATTTTTTTTTTTAATATTCTACTTTTAGCATCAGATACGCTTGGATACTTCTCGGATGCAGTTTTGGTGAAAATGTGAAATAATTGCTTGATATGCATCGTACATATTACAATACGTATTTAATTCCAATTTTAGGTTTAATATTTGTGAAATTATGTTAATATGATAGCTTAGGTTGTCTTCCAATAGAAGACTTGAGATATATTAAGCTCCTACGTTAAAGACTTAATGAAATTAAAAGCCAATTCCTGATTCCCCACGTTATGTTAAGCTTGTGTTTGGTTATTATTTTTGGGAAATAAATGTTCAGAAGTTTTTATAAAAAGGGTAAATTGCACATAGACCCCCTGTACCATCAAGAATAGTGGCAGATCAAGATAGAGCCCCGTACTATTTGCCCAAGTGAGGATAGGCCTCAGAGTGATTTTTTTTAATGCTATAGAAGAAGTTCACTCAAGGGTTCTATCCACAAATAGAACTACAATGGGTATATCCGCAATTAGGCTATAGTAGAGGGGACTATCGACAATTAATTTTATAAAAAATTCTTTGAAATGATATTGACATCTCAATGCACAACTTCAGGCTAAAATCTTCAATTTCTCTCTGTAAATGTTACTTTCTCCATTTGAGAAATAGAATTCAAACACTCATTCAAGCATATTTCTCTCCTCTACCTTTGACATTGTCTATTACCAGTAAGCAACCAACTAGTTTCACTGCTTGGCCATGAATGAACGGATCGGAGTTACTTGCTCTACTGTAACTAAATTAACACTCACCATGATGGTTACTAGTTCATTTTTGTACAATCCTTTTCTTAAGTCACCATATCGTCATTTCTCTCTGCTAAATTTCGCCTAGGTGTAAATTTCTTTTCGACATAATCTTAAACCATCTCCTCTCAAATTGATCATATATGAATTAGCTCCTCAATATAAGCATTACCAAGGTAAAAGCATAAACAAATCTCCGGACTGTGCAAGCTTTCGAAGAAAACCGTGAAATTTGTGCATGATTTATGGTACAGACAGTATCAATAACAACACGAAATGCGAGTTTTGACGCCTCTTGTTGTTTTCCTTGTCCACTGCAGAACTTGCCTACACAATGAGGGTGACCGAAAAATGCGATGTGTACAGTTTTGGAGTACTAACACTCGAAATAATAATGGGAAGACACCCATCAGATCTCATCCCAATTCTATCATCATCATCCGCGACAACAGATCAAGATGTGTTACTACCCGATATCATGGACCATCGTCCACCTCTTCCTACATTCCCCACTGCAGATTCAGTACTTTTTGCGGCCAGGGTTTCAGTGAAATGTTTAAGTACTGATCCACAAGCTCGCCCATCGATGATGCAGGTATCACAGGAGCTAATTCCCCGAAACCCACAACCCTTTATCAAGTCTCTACATGCTATTAAGTTGTCAGATATTACAGATTGTTAGATGTAACATATATTGTGATATTTCATCGACATCGGTATTATTGACGAGAAGTTAATTATAGATTTCGTCAATATTCGTGTATGTATGTCCGAAAAAGGCTTTTGAAAGGATGGGAAATTAATGTTTATTCCTCATTGACTACACTCTCTAAAGTGTAAATGGATTACTTCTCATTTCCTTGTGCTTTGCTCAACAACAAGCAACATACATAATCTCATATGATAGATTCGGTCGTAAAACTTTTTGAATGAAACGCCGAGATTATGGGGTCCATGGATTTGGACTGTTTTAACAGTTGCCGACAGAATCAAAGATTAGGATTAAGATTTTGAGTCTAAGAGACGTACGGGGTGTTTAGGAAAATTTTGTGCTTGCCAAAAAGGAAATTGACGGTGGTGGCCTCCATACGAAGGATCCAAAAAGAGAAGCTTCTCAGAACATAGCCATCAGGCCCACAGGCCACCCATCAAAATCCAAAGGGGAATTCTAGGCGTAAGGGAGGTTTTCAGCAGATGAACAAGATATTTTGACGAGGTTGGCGGACATTTAAAATGATTTTTACATGGTAACTCGTATCAATGTGATACGGGTGTATCTTCTCTCTACTTCGGAAGCTTAGCGATCCTCATGGGAGCTTGAGGATAGATGATTCTCATGATAGCTTGAGAATTGAAACATGGGTGGAGCCGTTGGTGTCGGCGAAAGAGGTCAAAAGCAGGAAAAACAGAAGAATCACGAAATGGAAGAATCGGCTCTGGTCGGTCGATCGAATGGTTGACACCGATCGACCGACAATGCTATATGATGCGGCATAAACATGTACCAAAAAGGTTGCAAGTGCACAACCGTGTCAAGTTATAGTATAAAGATATCGATCCCACGAGGAATGTGTTTTTGTAGGAAAAAATATAAAATCGGTTCTTATGTTGTGTGCGTGACAAAAAGGAGTGATGAGTGAATGTGATTGTGGAGAGATAATGAAAGATAGTGTGTAGATCAATGTGTTTGAGAACAAATGTGATCAATAAGGCAAGAAAGAAGAATGAATAAAATTGAGAAACAAATCAAAAAAAAATAAAATTCAAGAATAAAAGAAAATGCAAGAAATTAAAGATGGTGGATTCAATTATAGATATGGGTAATCTAAAATTGAACCCACTTCTTAGAAAATGGTGATTCCCTAGAGGGTTCTAGCCTAAAGGCGAATCAAACAAAATAAAAATAAACAAAAAGAAAAACTAAACCCAAGAGGGTTCTAGCCTCAGGTGAATAGTACAAGAAATTAAAATCTAACTACAAAATAAATTACAAAATCTAAACTACAAAATAAATTACAAGAATTAAATACAAGAAAATAAATCTAATCTATAAGCATGAAATAAATCTAATCTATAAGCATGAAATAAATCTAAGGCAAGATGGTTTTAGCCTCTTGGCTATTTAACAAGAAAATAAAATCTAACTATAAGCATAGAAATAAATCTAAACTAATAAGCAATAAAAAAGAAATAAAAGAGAAAAAAAAAGAAATGCAAACCTCTAAACAATTCTTCATCTCCATCTTCATCATCCAATAAATAAAAGAAATATTTAAAGTGGTAAAAAATTTATTATTATTAATTGTAACAAAAAGTTATAAATTTGGAAGGCCTTCTCAACTAAGAGTAGCCCTCCTCTCCAAAAAGAGTTACAAAAATTTTCACACCTCTAAACCCTCACTCTCTACCCTTATTTAAAGTAAACATCAGTGAATGAGAGCCATTGGATTGAAATCTTATCCAAAAACAACAAATTTTAACCTTAGATTCGTAACTAACTGCCCAGTATATCGATGCAGGCATCGATGCCTGCCCTTCTCCTTTTGCTGTCCGCAGATTCTTCTTGTTATTTGCTTTTGGACTTTGGACATTGGCTTTTCTTGGACTCTTGGGCTTTGGCTTTGATTTATTTCTTCATTAAATACTTGAAAGAATTCATTGGGCTTCACGGCTTCATTTCTTCATTAAATCAAGGGCTTTTTGTTGAGAAATTAGAGTTTGAGATTTATTCTTCATTAACCTGCAATTAAAGATAAGAACAATTATTAGTAATATATTTATTCATATAAAATAGATAATGAGGGTATAAAATTATAATAAAATGTGATTATCAAATACCCCCACACCTAAACTTTTGCTAGTCCTCTAGCAAAGAAAGAAAACTAAAAGAAAACCTAATTCACTTTCGCAGGAATCGCGGTTATATTTAGCGCATACAACAAGCCTTTAAATCCCTAGGTTACCCTAGTGGACGAGTTGTAGTCTCGTGAGGGTTTGCAGTGAATATACCCACAAAATTCGGTCAACTTGCCAAATTAAAGAAGTTAGTAAATAACTAAATTCACTTGATAACTCTTAGATAATCTAATTAGAGCCAGTTATCACTCAAGAAAACATTTTTATATATAACTCTAAGGTATATTTTCAAGAAAATCTTCTCATTGTAGCAATACAAAACCAAGCCAAACTTAGAAATTTAATTTAAAAGTTTTGAAAAGAACATGCTAACTCTTTGTTTTAAATAATTTTTAAGTTGCTTGATTTAAAATATTTTTCAAGACCATATATACAACTATAAAACATTTATTAGTTTTTTTTTAATTTTTTTTACTCTTTCTTCCTTGGTGATTTTTTCTACTTTAACGGGCTTTCTAAGTGACCATTTAACGAGTTTTGGGCCAATGGATCCCAACCCAAATGGGGTTAGGTCATTAAGTATGGAAATACTCTTTGGGCTTAATTACCCGGTCAGCTTAGGCTTTATAAGATAGAATCACTTTGAATTCAAGAGTTTTTTTTTTCTTTTTTTTTTTGTGCCCATTTTTCGCACTCTTCTTTTGCAAATTTTTTTTATATGTATATATATTTTGAAAATATGTAAATCAAGACACTTTGAAAAAATTATTTTCAACTCTAAGTTAAGCATGCAAAAATTTTATTATTTTAAATAAAAGTCCAAGTTAAGGCTTAAGTAAAGTATACTACTTTGAAAATTATTTCTTAAGAAATTTATTTAGAGTTATCATAAAAGATGAACTTAAGTAAATAACCAAGTAGGGATTAGAAATTTTCAAATTTATCAAATAAATCAATTATTACATAACTCTATCAATTTGGCAAGTGACGATATTTTTATAATTTCTTTTTTTTAAAAGAAAAAAATGGGGGAATGTAACTAAAAATGTAAAATAAAGAGAAAAAATAACTAATTCCCACCCCCACACCTAAAATTTGCATTGTCCTCAATGCAACTCTATGATGCATAAAGTAAATCAGATAAGAAGTGAAGCACTTACATTTGGTCGGCTGATAAAAATCTGCAATTACCTTTTGTCTGAGGGGGATGAAATAAAAAATTTATTCTCTTTTTTTCTTCTTTTTTTTTCTTTTTTTTTCTTCTTTTTTTTCTTCTTTTTTTTAACAACTGAACAAGAAACTCTCAAATGAGAGAAGAATAAATTCTTTTTATTATTCTGAAATAAACAAAATAAACAATGTAAAATGAAATATTTAACATGAAGAGTTCATGTTCTACATTGAATCCTACCTTATTGCTGAAAATTCTCCCACGGATTTTAAATAAATTCAACATGATATAATCAACAATGTGCTGAAATTCTAAGCATTCCGGGGTGTTCAATGATTTTTGTGGCAATGGAAGGTAGGTATTATTGGTGTCATGCATATTGGACTTAGATTCTTGATTTGTGAATGTTTGTTCTCTAACAACCAATTTTTCTTTAACAATTTTCTCAACCCCAAGATTCATGGTTGATGTGTAAAAATTTGGTTGTTGTTTATTTTCCAAAAATCTTAGTTCATCAAGAAAGAGTTTTTCAAAATTCAGTTCAAAACAATTATTCTCAAGGACCTGATCTGCTTCTTCTAAAAACTCTAACTCTTCATCAAAAATTTCCTCAAAACTCAAATCAGACTCTTCTTCTTCTTCTTCTGATCTTTCCTGAATGTAGTTTATTTCTAGAGGCTGAATATTTGGTTGGTCCCCTGGATTAAAAATATTAAGATCAGCAGTCAAATTCCCAAAGGGCAGCTTCATTTGACCAGTTCTACAGTTGATGAGAGCATTAGAAGTGGCTAAGAAAGGTCGTCCTAAGATGACAGGTGTTTGTCCTTTGGGATTGGAAACATGTTGTGTTTTCAAAACTACAAAATCTACTGGAAAAATAAAATCTTCAACCTTAATCAGAACATCCTCTAACTCACCCATAGGGACCTTGACAGATCTATCAGCCAACTGTAAGGTGTATTTGGTTGGGTTCGGTACACCTAGACCTAATTGCTGGTAGACTGAATATGGAAGCAAATTGACACTGGCTCCTAAGTCTAACAGCGCCTTATCAATGTGAGTATTCCCAATGATACATGAAATGATGGGGGGAACCTGGATCTTTACGTTTCAAAGGTATGGGATTTGATAGCATTTCACTGATATTGTCGGCTAAAAAGACTTTCTTTGGAAAATTTATTCGCCTCTTCTTAGTGCACAATGTTGGCCTTCTTGTTTTGATGATGTTTAACAAATAATTTGCTTCTAATGTTGTTTGTCTAGTGTTTGTGCTTTCGTATTTATTCTAGGCAAACAACGTGTTGGAGGATGGATGGATTGTGCCATAACGATCATATCCAATGGAGGTTGGAGGAATTGTGGAGTGAAGCAACATACAATTCAAGTTAAAGATCAAGTTCAAGCTTCATCCGCAAAGTGTACCAAGTCAAGCTTATTGAAGATCAAGATCGACTTGGGTAATCTAGTTTAGGTTTTATATTATGTGTGTTAAGTACCTTAAGCTCAATATCATATACACACACGTATTTGGTTTCTATGTATATATATAGTTATATATATACATGCATGGTTTTGGGTTTTCATGTTTTGGACATACTTGCAAAATACTTGAGTTTTCACAAATGGAAATTCAATTTAAGAAATTCTTTTTCTAACATGTTTTTTTTCATGTTTATAAACATTTCGCAAAGTTTCATCAAGTTTGGAATTGATTTGTTATGTTTAATGGAATTTACAAAATCATGTTTTTCGTTCGTGCATGTTCGTGCATGTTTTACAAAATAGCTGAGTTTTCATA